GGGACATAGCCCAACAAACTGAGCCACATGGCACAGGGCTTATTGTCTATTTTAAATGCATTATTTCACATCTCTCCATCTCAAGGTACTTATTTGTAATTTCATCTACAAAGTTTCTCCACTATAAGGTAACATATTCATGTACTTCAGAAATTAGGTAATGGTATGCCTTTTAAAAGGGCATTATTCTGTTTACTACACGTTTTAAGTGCTTATTATGTACCACGTACTATTTTAAAATGCTTTGTGCACATAATATAACCCACTCTCCCAATAGCTCTGATTGAAAAGGCACTATTATTATCATCCCTCTCATAATTAAGGAAACCAAGACACAAGTAAGTTCAGTAACTTTCCAGAATTCAGCAGTAAATGGTAGCAGAGCCAGGATTTGACCTGGGTACTCTGGATCCTGAGTCCATATTTTAACCCCTATGCTAACACCTTGTTAAATAATTAGTATTTGCTTATCTGAGCAAATTTAACAGCAATATTATTTTAGGGGGCTTGATGTTTGCATGAGTTATTTATTATCTTTAAATACTTCTCAATATTCTCATGCATATACACAACCTCCATACATATAGAAATATATTGTGTTATAGGCCAGTTTATTCTAGGTCCCTGAGTTATTTTTTATTTAACTTTGGAAATCTCACTAATTTCTATGATTGGAGTCTTCTCAGTGTTTTGTCAGTTTTCGAGGATCCATTGTTCTTACAATAAACCAGTAAACATGCTTTAAATATTTTCTGCAGTATTGATTACAGGGTCAAATGCCCAAAGATCAAAACTTCTGATATTAAAAAAGTGCTGTTGTTTTTTTTTAACTGGTTTTGGTGCTGAAATTCTCATGGGAAGTTATGTAGGACTCACTGCAGTTGAATCTATATGTGTCTCCACGTTCACTTCTACCTGCTTCACAGGTGACATGAAACATTTTTTAGCTTCATCTTTGAAGTAATGGGAGCCACCAAAGCCAGATTTTAACAATGTGGACAAAATTATTGCATTTAAGTTTTGAGCAGGTCACTTTTGCTGCAGATGAGAGTGTTGGACTCTAGACCAAATAGAGGGCCATTTCAGCAGTTTCAGCAGAAGATGGTTACACTTGGACTGAAATTTTCTTAAAGACATAGAGAAATTGATATCTTTAAGAAGTATTTAATTAATAAGTGCCTTGGTAATAAATTGAATATGGGAGCTAAAGGAGAAGTCAGAGGTAACTGCCATGCTTCAGGTTCACGTCATTGGATAAAAAACACATTTAATGTTAGGGCACAGTAAAGAGAGTAGTCATTAAAGACTAATTAATTTAGCTTTTAACATAATGAGTTTGATGTACTTTAGTAAACATCCAAGGAAATGAATCAGGAAGGCACAAAAGAAAAGTATGCACTGAAGATATTTATAATAGTATACAATGATTTGAATGAGATCCTGAACCTCAATCCTTAAAGTTTATATAGAGGAAAATAAGCTTTGAAAGTTAGAGTAGCCATCTCTTCAATCGGTGAGTCAATTATTGTCCCTTTCATTCCAACTCACCCAACATCAAACCTGTGTGAGCACAGAGTTTCTATAATTGCAATGGAGACAGAGAGAGGGCAGAGAAAACAGAAAATTCCATTTAGCTGTAAGGACCACTATCTTCATTAGATCTGCTGCTGAAAAATCACAGCACTGTCAAAATAGATATTGGTCCTTTTCTTTGTCTTTCAAAAAATTGATTTTCAAAAAATCATAGATTTTTGCCTTTTCTTTGTCTTTCAAAAAATTGCACCTTACTTTCTTCCATACTACTGGGAACAGATCATTTTCCCATTACTCCAACAATGTGGTTTGCAAAAAAAGCTGCCATATGTTTTTATTGGTAGGTTCCCTGAACACAGTTGCAGTCATTGGTCTAAAAGCAGAGCAGTGACCTAAGCTGGACAAGTTGGCAACCTTTCTTATTTATTTTTTTAACTTCAGACATAAGCCAGCTAGCCTCAGTTTCTTACTGGTGATATATTTTTATTGTGGTCCTCACACCTAGTGAGACATGTCCAAGGACAAAGTGGCATTCAGCCATGTGGAGGACATCTGTCTGAGAGACAGAAGTCCATCTGTAAGGAGCACAGATATAGGTGGCAATAGCACCAGTGGCCAGCAACATCCTGTATTAGGTCACTTGTGATGCACAGCTGCATCCCAGCCCTTATTGTAGTTTGCATCAGTAAGAGAATAAATGACATTTTTTGCAAAGGTAATATCTCATTTTAGGTTCATATGCTTGGCATACATCTGTTCACTAAGTGAGTGCTCATGCTCTATGGCTGGGAGAGCCGCTGTGCCTGCTCATGGGTACATAGCCGCTGGCACCCCGAGAATAGAGGATCTCTGCACCCCGGGGGCTGAGAGGCACTCTCCGACTGGAGCAGGTTTTGCACTGAGGGAAGGCGGCAGCAGCAGCTCAGGAAGGGGGTGGATGTGTGTGGTTTGCTCATGAGTGATGTGTTATAGTTTGGTAATTGCCCTCTGGGACTTGGAGTTGCCATTATCTCTTACAAGGTAATGAAGCTGTGGGATGACTCTACTTTTCTTAATCTGCTGAATTCTATTGATTTAATTTTATTCACTCAAGTGGAAAGGGAGTGGGAAGATAAAGCCTCCCACTATTGCAGGAGAAGTAGCCTATTACCAAGGGCTTCTCCTCCCTCTACAATTTCCTTAGGACCTGCCTACTGCATGTTAGGATGCAGAGAGTGAACAACTGTTGTGTGTGGAGGGTGGGGTACATATACATACAGCATAATCCAGAAAATATTTCTTAATAAAGGAATTATTTCTTCCTGATTATCTGAGCTAACTGAAATGAGACTTCCATGAAATGTTGTATAGCCCATCTGGTTCTTTATAAACAGCAATAATAAAAAGCTTTTATGTATAGTCACCAATTATGTACCAGAAGGATGTTGACACTGGCTTTATATTGCCCTTAATTTCTACACTGAGCTTACAAACTGTGCATCACCACCACCACTTTATATGTGAAGAAACTGAGGCTCCAAGAGATTAGGGTACTTAATCAAAGCATTCCCATGGGTATAAAGAAGGACTTGAACTCAAACACTGGTTTTCAAATAACAAATCCAGAGAGAATTGATCTCTGAGTTTCCCATAATGTGTGTATCTCTGTAGTTATAACCAAGATTACTACTTCACAGGGATAAAAATGGCTTGATGCGTATTCAGTAGAAAGGTTTTCCTTTCTGATAGGAAGCTTTCCCACTAGCTTCCTCTCCTATCTGAACCAGCCCAAGGATGTGGGTTCCAGTTCATGACAGCAGACTGGATCTGATGACCTTTGGAGTTTGCTACCCCAGCCTGAAGATCTCTTGTTCAGACAGTAGGAGCTGGCCCTGTCACTTTACATTGTCAGATGGCAACCCTCCTCAGGAAGCAGAAAGACAGTGAGAGCCACCTCCAGTGACTTCTAGACAGGTGCCTTCTTATTCACAAGCCTGTCTGCTGATGCACAAGGGATTAATGCCAACTCCCAGTTTCCTTTCAGATCTGGACCTGCTGGTATAAAAATGTTCTGCTCAGAACACATTTTCTCACTTCCTTTCCCCTTGAGAACCTTCTCCTCAGGCTCCTGTCCCTATCATGAGCCCTGGCTCTGAAAACAATATTAGTGCTTTAGCCAACATCTCCCTCCAATGCTGAGCATTTAGCCCTAAAATGTAGGCTAAGGGAGGAAACCAAAGTGAGCCCCTGCCCAGAAAGAGTATCCTTGCTTGTTCAGGTTCACTTCTAAGCCAGAGTGTCAGGCTCAGCACCTCAGCCTACCAGAAGGAACTCTCATCTCGACAAGGTAGGCTTAGAACCATCAAATGGAAGAGACCAAAATCACTTTCATGCAGGTGCTGCTTTCTTGTCCCTGGGTGAACCCTATGCCAGAGATACACCAAGTTCAAAAATCATCCTCTGGGTTTGTTAATCACATGATGGTCCGGCCACCTGGCCTGAAGCACCGGGGCTGGGCCTGACACTGGTCCAGAAGTAGGAGAAATTTCCACTTATTTTCACCTCATCATCCAACTCAGGCACAGGGTTTCAGAGATGAGAGAGATGTGAGGGCGTCAGAGAAAGGGGAAGAGTCCAGTTCTCTCTGGCTCAAACAACATTCCTCCATCCCTCCCAACTGAGGCCTCTCTCATGCACTACCTGCTTTTTCTCTGTTCAGCTCCCAGATATGACTCCCTTTCACTCTGTTTTTATACTCATTTCCCTTTCTTTTTTGCAGACTCCCTCACTAATTCTTGTACTTTTTAAAGTATATTTTATTCGTTTTTATTTTTAGAGAGAGGAAGGGAGGGAGAAAGAGGGAGAGAAACACTAATGTGTGGTTGCCTCTCACGTGCCCCCTACTGGTGACCTGTCCTGTAACTCAGGCATGTGCCCTGACTGGGAATTGAACAGGTGACTCTTTGGTTTGCAGGCCAGCACTCAAACCACTGAGCCATACCAGCCAGGTTCTCAGTAATTCTTTTAATCTTCAACTCTTGTACAGAGTTTTGTTTTTCTTTCATTGTTTTTTTTTTCTTCTTTTCTTTGGAATCGGCTCTTGGTCCCCTTTTTCTCCCTACTTCCCCTCCACTCCCTGAACACTCATAGAGTTTTTTTTAATCTTTCCTTTCTTTTTTCACTTTTAATTTTTCCTTTTGTGTTCTTCCACTTACTGTCTTCCCCATTCTCATCTTTAGTTTTTCTTATTTATTCTTTGTCACAAGGTGTGTTTTATTTTTATTAATTACACAAATAATTTTTACAATATCCCAGGGCAAACCAGAAAAATTGGCAGTTCCCCTCAGAGGCCCATGGCCAATGGCATGCGTGTGGAATGTCTGGGTTCACAGTGCAGTGTGTCCCTTGTGTCCATTTTGCAGGTAGCTTTTTCTCTACATCATGACTGGGGTCCCAAAGATATCAGGGGTGGGGAATCTCCTAGGTTCTTAAGAAATTTCACTTCACTTCTGATCAATGGTCTATTTGGTCGGCAGGGTGTCCTTCTGTGCCTCCGTCTTCTTCAGCTTGGCCTTATTGAAGCTGGCGATTTCTTCCATGTTTGGTTTGTCTGTCATTTTCTTAAAACAATCCTTAGCCTTGGCTGCTGAATTAAGGTCCTGCCTCCTACTCCTGTCACTGCAGCAAGAGACCTCATCTTTAGTTTTTATTCCACCTGCTCCATCACTTCATACCCTATATGGTCTCACATCCTCCTGAGTTCATCTTTGTTCATCTGCCTCTCTCCTTCCTGTTCTCTGAACATCAGCCTGTGCTGGTCACTTACAGTACACTATTCATTTTGAATGCCAGGTTTTGCAGAAGCTCTTGACAATAAACCAGCAAACGTAAAAAAAAATCCAAATTGTCCTGAAATAAGGGTGAGGGTCTCATTCACATTCCAAATGTGAGCTGTTTTATTCACTTAAATGCCTTGACCCCCACCTGTCTTACTTAATTCATCTTAGGAGCCTGGATCTCCTGCCGTGGAATAACAGTGAACATTGCCAGAACCCACCGAACAAATGTTCCTGGTCAGGAATTGGTAGTGTTGGGAAGTGCTTAACACAGGACCTTTGAAAGCCAGGAAGATGCTTGTCCTCTATACGGACTCCTGCTGAAAGCCTCCAGCACACACTGATTTAGTTCATGTTTATGCGGGGCCATTGCAAGGCCACCTTCTCCCCATTCTTGCTAATGTGCATATGCTCTGACTCCTACAGGAAGTATGGCCAGCTTTTATTCCTTGTTGACTTATTTTGCTAAGAATGAGTGTGAAAATTGAAGACTATTTTAATTTCAAGACTAAGTGATTCAAAGGTATTCTGGCACTTAAACACTATCTCAGCAAGTAAGGCTAAAAAAGCCCCAAAAGCTATCCAAGGAAGATCAGAATGGACAATAGCCTGGTAGGGTAGAACCACCCAGCGACCTGTCCCCTATATCTCAATAAAGACAAATTCACAAGAAAAACAAATCTGTGGCAAAAATAAAACACTAGGAAATTACTCCTTTCCTTAGCTCTGGTCTAGAATGTAGCCACAGTGGAAAGACAGTGCTCTCTCTAGGCCAGCCACTTTCCCCAGAGTTCACATTAGGCCTGATCATTTCTGCACTTTCTCTGTTTTCCAGTGACCTCTGTACTGCTCCAAGAGAGACAGTTGTTCCTAAGACACTCTGAAAGTCATTCAGAGTTCAACTTACATATAAAATACAACTGACAGAAATAGAGAATTGTTTTATCCCAAAGCACAATTCTTTGTCTAGAACTAGATCTAAAATTGATATAAGAAATGACATAAAGTCTTCTAGGAATAAAAGTCCCACCCACCTTGCTCTGACATCCAGCACGTCCTATGAGAGGCTGTGCTATAGGCCGTCAGGAAAAATGCATCACCCAGGCATACGGAGGCTTAGAGTAGATGTATGCATGATCAGTTCAGAGGTACACGTCTCGAGAAGTGTGTCTCTCAGCCACAGAACATAAGACTTGACTCAGGCAGCTGGAACATCCAGCCCCATTGTCTGTAATTGGCAGGGCCAAGAGACAGGTAGAATGTCTGTGAACATATTTTATTAACAGAGTGTATGAAGAAAAAGCAGGATATGATATAAATAATTAATCCTGGCGGACCAGAGAATGTTCTTCAGTTCCATGGACAGGTTTCCTTGAGGTCCATGAAAACCAGAAGTAGGTCAAATATAGGAATTTGGATTTCTAAAATAAAATAAAATTTTTGAAATGAAGACATGGCTTTAGAATAGCTTGAAGAACTTAATTTCATTCCAAATCCACCTATTTATTCTTTCTTGAAAAATATTCAATTTTTTTAATGTCCATCTATCACATAGGTTATAAAACTTGAAGGCAGGGACTTGATTACCAAAAAACCAATCAAACAAACAAACAAAAAACCTCACCAGAACTTTGCACATAGCATAGGTAAAAATATTCCTTGATTTTTACATGTGAAGTATCAGAAATGATGATTCAATTTCTCTCTCCAGGAGTACCCATAAACCAGCAGCCATCCCTGAGATGAAAGAGTAACCACACTGGGACCTGAGCTACGTGTTCCACATCCTAATGCTTCCCCATGTACTGTTCTCTCAAGAAGCAGGAAAGAAGCAGGGTTCTTTCTGAGCCATGTATCTGCCCTGAAAAAATCAGCACTCTCTCTGTTTTCTGTTCCCATTCCCCTCTGGAGTATCTTGGGTGAGAACTAATGACAGGAGTCACACTGAACAGCTAGAGAAAAAGGGTCACCCAGTAATCTTACAGGTGGGTACAATGTCTTTCCCCCAGTTTCCCACCATTAGTGACTGGAGCCCTGGCTCTGACCCCATAAGGAACATAAATTCCATATCCTGTGGCTGAAGGGTACACAGATATACACAGAGCCCTGTATATCTAAATTGGGGAAGACCATGTCCAGTTGGCGGTGGGTCTTTTCAGCATCCTGAGGCACAGTAATTCCATTGAAAGACCATGAAAAATTCTTATCAGCATCTGAACAAAGCAAAGGGGACATTGCCTTTTTAAATTTTTTATTTTTTTATTTTTTCATTCTCATGTCCCAGGAGGAGCACACACTTGCCAAAAATTTTCTTTGCATTAAGTCCTTCGGGTCTTGTATTTAAAAGCCCATTCACCACTTCTGTTATGTAGCTATTTACTAAACCATCTTACATGTTAAGAAATATCTTTCACCTGGCTAAGGCTGAATTAGAGCCAGAAAGTGGGGTTGGGTTAAATCAGGGACAGTAGTAGAGAATACAGGGCTGTTATAGTGAGCTTCTAGGAGAAAACAAAATCTGTCTTTAGATGCACTCCTGAATTGAGGTTGAGTGATTCACTTCTGCTGACCTAAGGGGATTATTCTCCCTTCTAGGGAGAATAATCAACTAATGTCCTGGGAACGTGATGGAAAGATTCGGTTAAGCAATTTAGTCAGCAAGACCCCCATACCTCTTTCTAACAGAATGAGTGTTTAATAGGTCAATAGTGTGAGCCTCACAAAATGCCCCCTGATCCCAGGCTTAAATAGAAACTTGACAATAACAACCCTGTCCTTTCTGTAACAACTTTCTATCTTCACTCATTTATCCTGGAATCTATCTATTCATCTGAACATCTAGAAAGAACCATGCATTGTGGGAGGCTCTGAGTCAATAAAGCATGGTGTTGACCTGGGTTTGACTCCTAACTTCTGTATTTATTGTCTGAGATACCTTGGCTAAATCACACAATTAACCTGAGCCTAACTTTTTTAAACTATAGCAAATAATTAATAACACTTGCCTCACATTTAAGGTTGCTGTATTTAAAGCAGTTATATATGCAATGCCTTATAAGTACCAAAAAAAAATACCATTGTGATTCTCAAGATATAGTTTCCAGTCCCAGAGAGCTTACAGCCCTGGGGTCTCTGGCCAGAAGAACAAATAAATGACAGGAGCCAATTGCCAGACATGCAGATTTCTTGCCTTTGCAACAGAATGTATTTGGAATATTTTCTAAATTCCTGCTCCTGCCCAAGCCATATCCCAAATAACCAGAAGGTAAATTTGCAGGAACATGAGATCATGTAGAATTCAAACAATTATTTCACTTTTTCTCATGTGTAGTACAAGTTATTTTTGCAAAGCATGTTAAAATCATTTCCATGGAAACTACTTCATCATGTAGGACTCCCCTCACTGATACTGCAGTGGAATTTTACTATTGATATCTTTTGGGGAAAAAACCCAACAACTACGAGTGGATGTGCATGGGCAGTTGTATGTGTTTTCAGTAACACACACATAGTCCTCCTAATGCACCTTTTACTTAGAGGTTTGACAAAGCAGATTGCTTGTTGCTGAAGAGAGCATGACATCACTGTCATCATGTGCATTAGCAAAGGTTCCATAGTATTGAAGGCTATTTTAGCATTCAAGCAGGTTAACAAGAAGAAAGGGTTGGATGCAGTGGTGAGTTAAAGATAGAGATGAGTCAGTGGGTGGCACAGGGTCACCATCGATGAGGAAATAAAAGATGAATCAGGATGAATTTGGGGGAAAAACAGCCCTGGAGGCCAGTTTCAACTACCAATGCCTAGCATGAAAAAATAATGGCACTGTGTTACCTAAAATATTCCTTAAGCCTAAAGCTCTCTTTCTTCTTGCCCACCCTCCCCAGCTTGCTTGGCACACTGCTCCTTTCTCACATCACATGTACACACACATGCACACACACATCTATTAACATATACTCAATTTAAGTCTCAAATATTCATTGATAATTTACTGTGCACCAAGTATTCAGAGAAGTTCAAAAATTGGAAAGGTAAAGCTCATACCCACAAATAATTTTAAAGCTAAAAGGAAAGGCAGAAAAGTATACAAATGGTGGATAGGCAAATCCAGGTAAAATTTTACAGAATGGCAATCTAACACAATAATATACAACCTTAGTCAACTCAGCTTCCAATGTTTTAGTTCCCTCATCTATAAATTGGCAGAAAATATACATGAAATGTTTTCAAGGAGTTAATAAAATTCTTCTAAAGAGCTATTCAAATATAAGGGACAGGTACACACATGTTCTGCAGAAGTCATTAGTGGAAGTCTAATTGTGGAGGGTGTAATTGAGATGGGTCCTACATCCCAAAACCAAATAAAGATACTACAAAGAAAGAAAATTATAGTCCAATATCCCTGATGAACATAAATGCTAAAACAAAACAAACAAAACAAAACAAAACAAAACAAAACAAAATATTAGCAAATTAGACCCAGAAATATTAAAAAGATCATACAGTATGATCAGGTGGGATTTATTCTGGGGATGCAACTCTGATACAATATACACACATCAATAAATGTGATATACCACATAAAAATGAAAGATAAACACTGCATTATTATATCAATAGATGCAGAGTAAGCATTTCACAAAATCCAGCACCCATTTATGATAAAAACTTTCAGCAAAGTAGAAATAGAGGGAATATACTTCAACATAATAAAAACCATATATGATAAACCCACTGCCAGCATCATACTGAGTGGGCAAAAATTACAAACATTTCCCTTA